AAGTGTTTACCGACGAATGAGAAGTTTTGGCTTGTCTTCATACCGGCCACACTGGGTCCTCCCTTTAACTCGAGAACACCGACGTAATCGCCTTGAGTGGTGCAGACAACGGTCACTCTGGGATCAGGAATGGAACAGTATTGTCTTTAGTGATGAGTCTCGATTTTGTTTAGGCATGCACGATGGTCGTGCCAGGGTTAGAAGGCGACGTGGTGAATGGAGGAATCTACAGTTTTTTGTTGAAAGACATGTTCATCACACTGTTGGAGTTATGGTTTGGGGTGCTATAGCTTATGGTTCCAGGTCACCTTTAATCTTCATCAGAGGTCACGTGAACGCGCAGGGTTATATCCACGAAGTTCTAGAACCCCGTCTTTTACCCTATCTAGACACCCTGGCAGATCCAACCTTCCAACAAGATAATGCCCGACCACATGTTGCAAGAGTCACAATAGACTTCTTTCAACATAATGATGTCACATTGTTACCATGGCCACCAAGATCTCCCGACTTATCCTCAATTGAGCACGTGTGGGATATGATGGGTAGGAGATTGCTCAATTTGCAACGTCCTCCTCAGACTCTAGAAGCACTTCGAGAGGAGTTGGTGGTTGCCTGGAATGAGATACCACAGGAGGACATTGACCACCTGATCAGAAGCATGCCTAGCCGCGTTGGAGAATGCGTAGCACATCAGGGTGCATCCACACATTATTAAAGGTCAAAGGGCTTTAAAGCAGTGCAATTATTTTGAAATTTTTATCATTTACTTATTATGCTTCATTAAGTACTTATACAAAATTTTATTAAAATAAAACCATTTAAACTGGGTGTTCGGATTTATATGTCACTTAGTATATTTTAGAGGGTATTTCCTGTTAAGAAATATGAAAAAAGTTTCTATAAACATGGGTCCGGAAATGCAGGGTTTTTAAGATACAGAGTGAATTTTTTTTGTTAATATCCTTAAATATATTTACTCGATTCTGTTGAAATTTGGCAGCATTATTTGTTGTATTAAGGACTAATTATGTCCTGATAGATTAGGACCACTAGCATCCCGGGGGCATCTTAGTGAATATTATTGACAAAAAATGTACGCCACTGACTTTTATGTAACTCTAATGTTTTTTGTGTGATTCAGCATCTAAAAATACAACTTTTGCCTCTTGTATTTTTTCGTATCTCACTTCGTTTCCGAGAAAATTAAAATAAAAACTGTTTTATTGCATGTTACTGGACAAAATTGGTTTATTAATGTTTACCAAAAAAATCATAAGTGCATTGGAAAACAAAAATAAAAAAATTATCCTCTCAATACAACAAATAATATTGCCAAATTTCAATAGAACTGAGTAAATATTTTTTAAGATATTAATAGAAAAAAATTAAATCACCCTGTATCTTGAAAACTGCATCTCTGGACCCATGTCTATAGAAAGTTTTTTTTTATATTTTTTAAAAAGGAATCACCGTCTAAAATATCTCCGTCTATTTTTCGAACACCCTGAATGACATTACAAGGGATGTCTTTTAAGTTTTGCATATAGAAACATAGTAGGCCGCGCGGATCGAACGTCAGTACTGAATCGTAACCTCACTCTTTAGTAAACTTAAATTCAAAGTTTCACAACAATACGTGCAGTGTTCTCACTACAGTGAATTTTTAAGTGCCACCAAGTCATTAGAAAAATGGAACTCAACCGAAAACATTTTCGCGCCATAATTTATTACAACTTTCAGAAAACGTCGATGCTGTGCGCAAACTCATCATTCAAGATATACATGTGACATATCGCGAGATTGAGGCGTCCTTGAAGATCTCAAAGACCTCAATTTAGAAAAATTTACATGAAGAATTAGGAGTAAGAAAATTAGTTTCTCGTTGGATACCCTACCCGTTGACTCAAGAGCAGAAAGGTTTAATTGGTGTCAAAAAACGCTTGACCGTTTCAATTCCGGAAACTCAAAAAATGTGTGCAGCATTGTTAGTGGTGATGAATCGTGGATTTATTGTTATGAACCAGAAAATAAGCGACAGTCGGCTGTTTGGGTGTTCCAAGGTGAAGAAAAGCCAACAAAAGTCATCCGTTCTCGACGTGTTTCGAAAAAGATGGTCGCGACATTTGTGTCAAAAGCAACAATTCCTCTTAATGAGCAAAGAACTATTACTGCGGATTGGTACCACCATTTGTTTGCCAAAAGTCATCACCGAGCTTCGAAAAATCAACCCCAAAAGAAGAATCATCCTCCACCAAGACAATGCAAGCTCGCACAAGCCCAAAAAACAAGGCAGTATTTAACCGAAGAAAACGTGGAATTATTGGACCATCCTCCATATAGTCCCGATCTAAGTCCTAACGATGTCTTTACTTTCCCGAAAATTGAAAACAGACTGCGTGGTCAAACGTTTCAATCACCAGAAGAAGCAGTTGACGCATTCAAAAAGTGGAATAAGTGCTTTGAAAATTGGTTCGAGAGCATGCAGATGTGTATTAATCTTCGTGGAGAATACTTCGAAAAACAATAGTCATTTAAAAATACCTATCATGTTGTTTTATTTCCATATGCAAAACTTCCCTCGTATATCACGAAAAGCCGTGTCACTCATTTTAATAAAAACCGCTGAATCTTCGCTCTTTGATGTTTCAAACGCTCCTATATCTCATTTTGCCCTTATAATTTTTATAAAATTCTTTTGTTATACGTATTTGTAGTTGGGTGTAAGCGCAGAGTCAACCTACTTGACGCCATTTTTTTAATAAGAGTATGCAAAAAAATCAAATCGGAATATTTTTCCGAGCAGATGCGATGATACCTGGACTAATACTATCCACGGATTACGTCAATCTCTAGGTAAATATTGATCAGAAGGGTTGTGTAAGTGTACCACGTATGATGTGGTGACTTATTTACTTCAGGCCTTTAAAGCATAGTCGTATTATTTTTATTCAATATGCATTTAAGTATGCAGGATGTTCTGCCTATTTATAGTGTGTTTTGTGATTTTCGAATATAAAAATAAAAGGGGTATTTTAATAATCTATGAAGTGGCGTTCAATTATTTATCCATCAATTATGCACTGCAGACAGATGGTTAAAAATTCATTAAATATGTGTAGTATACTATCCAATAAAATATGAGTTGCTACTTCTGACAGATTCTTGCAATGGACTTGTTGCACATTTCGTGACGTACATATGTATATAACATCAAAAAAGTATACCCGATTACATTATATCGTTGCCAGTGGCGTGGAAGCTAAACCGTGATTTTAGGACTTACATAAAGCTTATAACTACGGATATTTCTCGAAATAAGAGGCTTAGGTCCCCTGTTGCCCAAGCCTTGCATATCAACCTTTGTTGTGCTTATACCTCTTGAGAATCGATTGGACCTTAAAATTTGCATATTCAGCACAGTAAAGGGCCAGCGGTACTCAAACTTCTAAAGGGCTATAACTTTGTTACTTTAATTTTACCAGAAAAATGTTAAAGGGAAAAACCATTTCTTTTGATCAGATCTACTCACTGTTAAAATAAATGACTCAACTTCGAAGTCACCCATATATATACTTAGTGACTTCAGAAGTGGTACGCCCAGAAAAATAATTTTTGTTGCTTGGAATGAGGTGCCACAACCAGACATCGATCATCTCATTTTGTCGATGCCTAGACGTATACAGGAGTGTATTCAGCTGCGGGGTCGCCCAACACATTATTTTTTTTTCTTATTACTTGTCAATAAAATTTCGTGAGAATGTTATCGTTTCATTCTTGATGTACGACTACCTCATTGTCAAAAAAATCAAGTTTTTCCTGATCGTATATTTCTATTTTTTCTGGTGTAGGCTACTTTTTTGTCCTAAAAAGTAAAATCCCAAAATTATAGATTAGGAATGCATCAGGAGATATGTCATTCGTTCAGGTTGGTTCGAGGAAACAGGGCCGTCTTGCAACTGATTAGATGCAATTCCCTTGCAACCAAACAGTGCCGTCTTGCATGCGGCATGCGGACTGTAAAACGGTTTTTAACAGATATTATGAAATGTAAGCGTACCGGTGGCTCTAAAGCCATGTGTTCCTCTTGGGAGGGCGCATATGCGTCGCGTGTGCTCGAACCAACGCCGCGGCTTGCCGCCGTGCGGCGGCGTCGCTGGCGTCAAGATTGCCCCACTGTGCGTCTAACGTCTGAGCTACCGCCAGCTGACTAGAGCGGTCGCATGTTAGATTGGTCGAACTTCGTGACGTCATCGGGGTGTATCGACCAATACCGACCGGCCTCACCGGTCCGTACCGAAGGACCTTCTCTATTTGCTCAAGCGACGTTGCCACATACGCTTCTCTCCGATCATTTGGCGATTTATTCAATTTTTTGAGTCACGTTTGCGCTGAACATAATCCTTTACGAACCGATAATGGCGTTGCGAGCAAGAGCAGAGTCATCCTACTTATCGCCATTTATCCTTTAGATATCCCCAGAGAAAGAAGTCACACCACACATTACCTTTCAACGAGAATAGCCATCCTGGAAACATTTCTCTCAAAACTTTCATTGAATGTTAGTCTGGGTGAGTTGTAGCTCCAACCCCTAATCCCTCTTCCTCAACGAGATTTTCCAATTTGGGTTGGAATTGAGCATCTGTGACCCCCTTCTCTGGGGATATCTAAAGGAAAAAGCTCATCCGCCTCGCACACTATTAGGGCTAAGAGAGTGGGGTTGTTCCTAATCCCACTCCTTGAACAAGCTCCTCCAACTTTGGTTGGGACATCTAATTTTAGTATATTCTGATCGCTACCTTTGCGGCTATAGGATATTTTGTCCGAAAAAAGACTCAGTTTTGACAGCTTTTGAGTCAGTATACAGTATACATACAATGTTCGTGGTCAGCTTTCTTAGGTCTCTTTTAGAATAATGGAGCTACCGATCGATTACACACTAAAATCTCACCCTTTATGTACTCAATTTTTGTGTATATAACATTTTTTGTTTGTTGCAGGTATGTACCATGTGACCAGACAACAGAGAACTTCTAGTAAGTTTGAATTTATATTATGAGGATTTTGATGTACTTGATAAATGATGCTTCCCTTTTACAAGAATTTCCAATAAACGAGATACCATCCTATAAAAAATGCTTTACTTTCCGAAGTACCTACGAAATATGTTTCTATGGTATTTCTATGAGATCTGCAAAATTGGTAGATATCAGAAGGTCAAGTTAACACCAAATTTACTAGCCCTCTTTTACCGAAATGTGTTATTAAAGTGTGTGGGATTATTCCATTTGTAATTTTGCTCAAAAAATAAATGCCTTTGCAAAAACTAATATAGAGGATCTAGTGAGTTGAGCAATAGATACTGAAAAGTACGTCATTAGTTTCGTCTGATCTTAATAAGCTAACAGCTGAAATTAGTAATAGTGAAAAATTCATGAATTACATGCCGGTTTGGATTTTAGCTATTAAAAAATTTGAACGTCATTCTACTTTATTCACTCTTGTGCATTTGTTTGCTCTTTGCAGAGCTTAAAACTTCATTCTTTGCCAAAGAACGAAAAAGCCCATGTGCAAAAAATTGAACACAATTTTGTACTCAAGCAGCCTTAAAGGCTCAGCATAAATATCGGAGTATCGCGATGAGCTGTAAGGAAAGTAAGGATACCTTGTCGATACAAAGTTTGAACTAGTTATAAGATTAATAGAACTGGCAAATGTCTTCTTAGGGATTGTCCCCGAACCAACATTGTTTAAAGTTCAAAAAAATAAATGTCGTTTCCTTAGGTTACATCCGTAACCGGATGTATGGGCATGTGTATCTACTTTTGTGGTTGCATATGTGCATTCATTTCGGGCCTGATGAAGCCAACAAGTTGAAATACGGATTGCTCGGGTTATCTATCCTATTTTCTCCTCTCTGACACATATCGTCAATAGCGGCAGCTGTTGGGAAAAAGCTTTTCCCAGTTCTTTTATGCTTGGGCAGGTCGAAAATTGGATTAACAAAGTTCAAGTTCAAGTTCTCAGCGTCAGTCTGGAGATGTCTTTCAAATAAATTCTACTCTACTCGTTACGACTTCTGCAGTGTCTTGCTGTGAAAGCAGGATGCTGAAACAATGTATAAATTTTCCATGACTCCCTGGTATCGGGACGACATGTCTGGAAAGGCGATATCTGGCAACAGCGTCTGGCACGAGTCCCGAGGTTCAACTGGGTAGATCTACGTCGCATGGTGCGCGCGTTCACTGTTAACCGTTTACTTACCTCCCCGATACGAGAAGTCCTGGGCCGATATCTCTAACTCGCTCTAGCTCAACGCTCAGGCTCTCCTCGGCTCTATTCGACGTTGACTGCTCAAAGTCAGCGGTCGAAAGCCCGCGTCTCACGTTCGGCATACGTAGCGCGACCGCGCCGTGTTTGTGGACTTCATTTTTGAGTGATTTTACCATTTTTGGGGTGTTATAGTTGTGTTTGGATTTAGGATGGGGATTTGGTAAGTGTTGCTGAGAGTTTTCAAATTTTGCAGGGGAGACATAGCAGGTAAATTCTCATGCGTATGTTTGTATGATCATTGCCTGTTTGGAATATTTTCATCGGCATCATCATTACCATCGTCGTCGTCATTACCAACACCTACGAATCTTGAACAAAACTAAAAACATTTAGCGTGATACATCGGTAATACTTTCAGAGGAAATGGTGAGGATTGAGAACTAAAAATACTTTCGTGTTTTGTACTGTCGGAGACAAGAGGGGATTATTGGAAAGCCGCAACGTTACTCCAAAAACAGAACATGTGGATATGTTGGGAAGACAAATAACAATGACAATGACATTCAAACAAAAGCATGGATAGAAAAGTGAGAATGTAGTGATCTTGACATAGAATCTTTTCAGATGGAAATGTTGCGATTGGCAACTAAAAATAAGTCCACATTTTACTATTGTCAGAAGCAAACCGAAAGCACATTTACATAAAGTTGAACGAATCTCATGAAAAGGAAGAACACTTGAACTGTGACAGTGTTTATGTGAATGGAAAATATGAGTATACTTACATTGTTTCTTTTAAGGGCCCAATTTTTGTGTGAATTTTACTATTTTTTTATCGTGAGAACTGCATGATTTCCTGAAAAGCATATTTTGAAGGGCAAACAAAGCAGTGCTTTGTGTGTTAAGAGAAATTATCATGCGTATGTTTATAATGACTAAAAATGTTTAACAATGACTATGAAATTTAGTATTGCAAAAGGAAAACAACCAAGTTACTTCAGGAACAGAGTAAGTTAATATGTTGAGATGATGAATATTAACAATCACTATGAAATTTGAACAAAACTAAAAATTGAAGAGCAAAAATCATCTTTTCAGATGCGAAATGGGATTGGGAACAAAAAGTAATTCCACGATTTAGTAGTATCAGCATCAAATGATAATGAATGGTACCTATATACTTGAACTGACAGTTCTTATGTGTATGAAAATAAGTCTTTAATGACAATGCCGCTAGTCTCGACGAATTGATTTTATCATCGTCATTACCATCGTTATTGTCATCTTCAACATTATCATCATCCCTATATGGTTAAAAATTATCATCGTCATTACCATCGTTATTGTCATCTTCGACATTATCATCATCCCTATATGGTTAAAAACTGTGGATCCTGAGCAATCTTAAAAATTGGATATCATGAACTGGATGTCATTTATTATTCCTTTAATTATATAGTTTCTTGTTTATGACCATTAAAACGAACAACTATGACTTCAACAGATCTAAAAATCGAAAAGCATGAACATATGTACTTTTCTAGTTCAGCATCCTAAAAAACGGATAACGAGTATGGACCTTGGACAAAAGTGACAAATGAAGAACATACAAGTAATAAACCTGAAATGTGATCCTTTTCTGAGAACTGAAAGTATTGTCAATAGGAAACGGTTTTACAGCAGACAATCGCTTCATTTGTTTGTGATAGTACTCAGGTGAACGAATGGAAGGTATTTTGAAAATAAGTGTATTGTGATAATAAATATCTTCATCTGTATTTACACTGAATCAGTGTAACTAGCTTTTCATCATCACAATGAATAACACGCAATACGACGCTAAAGAAGAAACAAAAATACGAAAGCACAAACCTGGAAGACTTGACATGTAATCCTTTCAAAGGAAATGTTGGGAATAAGCCTGAGGCAAAAGAGAGTTCAAAGAGAGTAACTTTCTGATTCAGACATATAATATTTCAAGTGGAAAACGCTGGGTTTCCAACTCACGTTTGATATGAAATAGAATGGAAATGAATACTAGATTAAACTATGCCAGTCTATATAGACTGCAGTGTTTTGGTGCTTTAACTGAGAAATGATGGGACTGAGTCTCAGAAATAGTGGGTTGCAAGCTTAGCTTTCTGGGATTTGTATAATTGTGGGAGCAACAGCACCCTACTTATTTAAATGATCGTTTAATATTCACTCCTATAGAAACTACGAAATAGCTTCATCACAAAATACCTATGCATTGTCTTAATTGTTACGGAAAATTACATCACATTCAGCGTTGACTCACAATTTTCCATTCAGTTCTATAACAACTCACGTACAGGCATTATTGACGGAAATATTACATTTACTTTACAAAATGAAGTGGCATCATTCAGGTTGACTCTATATCTCACGCACTGACCGAAGTGAAATTGTAATAAAAACCTACCTTCTCCTGTTTACTTCCAAAACTGATCAACAGAAATTGAAAAAACACATGACAATATCACTTTTTATTTCAATAAGTGTTCAAAATGTTGCCCGTTATTGACCAAACAATGATATAGGCGATGTTCAAATTCGTGACGGAGATTTTCAGAAACATGTTGTGGGATATCATGGCAGGTTTCGACGATGCGTTGACGAAGCTCATCCAAACCTCCAGGTTGGGGAGTAAACAATAGATTTCAAATGGCCTCATAAAAACAAGTCTAATAGCGTCAAATCAGGAGATCTAGCAGGCCATTCTATAGGCCCTCTTCGCCCTATCCAGTTGCCCTGTATGTATGAGATTTTTAGCATTACTAATACTGACTGATATGACGTTTCTCTCGGATTTTTTAACACTTGGAAGTATATATAGTCCAACTGAAACTTATGAATATTACAGGCAGCCGGTCCATTTTAAAGAGAAATAAGGTACAATGTTGGTTGGTAGTGTTTCCCTTCTGTTAGCGTTGAAAGAGTAGTTCCAATATTATGCCGATTATTTATTGAAGTATTCGATAAGAATGGTTACATAAGGAGCTTTACTCGACATTACTTATTTCTCAATAGCTCGATTGTCAAACTTAATTAATAAAATTGACAGAACACAATTTAAATGACATACATTAATTACCTAGATGTTTATGAAAACTACTGTTCAGTAGTGAAAAAACATAATTTCGGCATATAGGTACGCCTGCTCTTAAATCGGCAATTTGAATGTTCGCCATTTGCTCTTGTAGTTTAAATAACTATCCGATACCTTAACGTGGAGATATGAAATTGTTCTTACCGTAACAAATTATGTAAAATTGATATAAATCTAGCTGCTTTTTAATTAAATGATGCAGTAGGCCAAAATTTACATTATAATATAGCCATTTGTATGATTTAATGAGGCATCTTATGAGAACGTACAGGGTGACTCATTTAAGGAGCAGTATTTTAGTGTGTTATTCCTTGGATATTCTAAAAAAGAGTTTACATACGGAAAATGTGTAAAACATGTTTTATTCGTCCATTGGAGATATTAAAAAATAATTAGAAGCAAGAAATCAGAAAATACATAATGGGATATATCTAAGCAATGTCTCAAATGGGCATTTTCAATGAAAAAATTGGAAAACTACTTTTTTTACTACTAATCCTCCAATGAGATGTTTTCTCTCCCTAGGTAAACAATGATGAGAAAGCACCCGGGGAAATAATGAGCAACATTTAAAATTGTATTCCGACAATTTCATTGACAGCCGAACTTATGTCAAAACGATTCAGAAATAAATAATGTTGGGTATAACTCCTCGGGTAGATAGATATCTTTCTGGAATATCCCAATACGGCATAATATTAGAAAACTGCTTTTATTGTTAACAGAAGGAAA